GGACGCTACTAGGGGCTCCTGGCATCGCTACTAGTACCAAGAAGCTACTAGTAGCTCCTGGCCTTTCTACTAGTAACAAGAAGCTACTACTAGCTTGGCCTTACTACTAGGAGCAAGGACGCTACTAGGGGCTCCTGGCATCACTACTAGTAACAACAAGCTACTAGTCGCTCCTGGCCTTACTACTAGGAGCAAGGACGCTACTAGGGGCTCCTGGCATCGCTACTAGTAACAACAAGCTACTAGTAGCTCCTGGCCTCACTACTAGGAGCAAGGACGCTACTAGGGGCTCCTGGCATCGCTTCTAGTACCAAGAAGCTACTAGGAAAAGTCCGGGCTTCATTCCGGGCCAAAGAGGTCACGAACGTGGGCGCGAAGCTGGCGACGGCATCATGGTGGTTTTGCGCTGCTCAAACTTGCGTTTAGACATGAGCATTTTCCATTCCACTGCTCATACTAATGAGTCTTGTGGGACTTGGTAGAGTGTGAAGTTGAAGGGAGACCCTGCAGGTGTCAGTTGTGGCTGTGCACTCTGGAGTTGGTCTGGGTTCTTTCCATTGATCGGAAAAGAAAAGCAGAGATGAAAGTCTTGCAAAACACCGACGAACCAAGAGGCCACGCATGCTGAGAAGCTGACTCATCTATAGCGACGCAATCACCAGGATGGACTGTTAGTCCTGTGCGCGCCTCAAGCAACAAGCTGACGGCAGGTGATTTCTACGTCAAGATGCATCCTTCTGACTCAAAAAAGCTGACTCAAAGAAAGCCTTTTGCAGCGAACTCTCACAGAGCTGAAATTGGAAGTCCGCATTGCCCTACTGTATATTCCATCTATTCGCGTGAAATCAATGCCTTAAGCAGAAAGTAAAAATGTTGGTGAGGGAGGTGTCAGGACCCACAACAGGTGATTTGTGCTTTGACAGGCTGGCCCAACTGAAGCATGGCAGCGACATTGATGAGCCACATGACAAGTGTAAATGATATAATTTACATGCGCAGCGTATAAATTGAGAGCCAGAATGATGCGAAACACATGCATGATGATCAAACCCAAATACGTTTGGCGTCGTGCGGGAGAGCGCAAGTCGAGGTAGGTTACTGATGCTGTGGAAGCTGCATAATTCATGAACCAAAGCAGGTGGACATCCTATTGCTAAAGCTGCTAGGCTTCGGATAACAAAGTGGACACGACTTTTGGTGCCTATCCTGTGAGAAGCCCAGCCTCATCAGAATAAGTTGGTGCTGCGCGAATTTCAACGTCATCGTCGCAAACCACGGTATAGTGCCTCCAGCGCTAGAACAGGTCCAAAAGAACATGAAAACGCGTGCCGCAGAGAAATTTCCTCTTCAGTGTGAATTGGTTTGTCAGAAGTCAGAACTGAGAAGTCCAGGCAGAAACAACTATATATTTGTCCTGACTGTGATGGATCCACAGGTCAACATCTTTATGCATGTGGCATCTACTACCCTTGAGATTCAACATGAAATCTATCTGCCCGCGATTGGCCAAGATCCAGAGACCGTTCGTTTCATTTCCAGGATCCCTGCCACATGCCCCGAGCAAAATCTCGAGCTTCCTGGGCCTTTGGCCTCACCTGAAGAGCAGGCCCCGATACTCCGTTTCCAGGAAAATCGACGGACCCGCTACTCGTGTGGCGACTTCGCGCGCTGGTAGAGCCCCAACGGGCCTAACGAGATACCTGAATGGGAGGTGAAGGGCTGAAAGGTCAAAAAGTTGAGATCCTCGATATTCGTCTACTTAGAGTCTACTTTGAATCAGTCGTGCGTGCAGGCGTGCGGGCGGGCGGGCGGGCGTGCTTGGGTGGGTGGGTCGGTGGGTGGGTGGGCGGGTGGTGGGTGGCCTGGCGAGCGGCCGGATGGGCGGTGGGGTGGGTGGGTGCCTGTTTGCTTGTGATTCTAAGTATTGCTTAACTCATCTCAGACGTTTTTGCGCAATGTTTGACTAATGCCCCTCGTATCACCGCAACTAACATAACTAACACAGGGTGCATCTTTCTCCCTCTCTGTCAAAGATTGTGTGTGTGGAGTTGACGGAATCACTCCGAAGTACTGCCAAGCATGGCTGCTGTATGTTGACTTGAAACAATACATTGCGCTCTCATCCAAACCCTGGCCTTCATCCTTTCACCATCCAAGCATTCCCTCAAATAGATCCAACAACTAACAGCCCTGAAGAACATAAGGTCTACAGTGATGGCATCGATTTCACAGGTTAGATTTGCAATCAAGATCAAAAACGGCTTTGTCATGCTTTGTCGCAAGAAAAATGCATACTGTGTTATAACTGCTATGGTGGGTTCCACCTGAATGCATGAATCCAGTCCCGAGCCCGCCTCGCTCATGACCAGGAGCCGGTCCTTGGTCTCAAAGACCCAGCCACGAGCATCAGCGAGCTTCAGGAACCTGGCCGAGTTCCCTGTGACGGTTCCAGTCAGTCGGAATCGTCCCAAACCGTGACGGTCCAATGTCCGCCTTCACATGTTCCAGTCGTCTCGACATGAACATACAGTACAGTCGAGAAGTGTAGAAAAAGAACAGAAACAAAAAGAAATCGGTCAGGTCATTTTTCTTGGTGGTTTTGTTATGTTCATGATCATTTCAGCTGACAATGCGCTACGGAAAAGGGCAGGAACCGGTCTAGCACTTCTTGTGAGCAAGTTTCCAAGAAAAGGCACCGAGGTCCAGGCCGAGCATTTGCCACGGTGCAACGCTCATCCACAGCAATGCAATCCCCTCATTGAATGCAAAGATCTGTGATTGAAATGCATGTCTCACCACAAGTTGCACAAAGCTTTTTCAGTTCGCACACGACAGGTGTGGGCAAATGAGGCGTAGACCGGACAACAACACCACGCCGGTCCGAGCATCGTCGGAATACCTTCCAACTTCCAACCCTTTAGAGTCAAAGACTGGTGCTCTGGACGACATTCCGCAGCGAACTGCATATTAAGAAGTTTGGAAATCAAATGTCTCAACTTGAGATTTAACTAAAGACCGTGAAAATCTCACATGCTGCTGTTTTGCGAATTGGAAAGCAACAAATTCGGCAGCAACCGCCAACTTGAAATCAACAAAAGAGCTACGAGGGCGAGGGCACGTTGGTGAGATCCGAGTCTCTACATCATCCTGCAGTTCAGTGGGCAATCCGGCCGAATGTTCGAAACATTGGGAGTAGCTTCTTGCTACTAGTAATGGCCTCCAACCTAATAGCGATGGCCTCCACCTATATAGTAGCTTCTTGTTACTAGTAGCTTCTTGCTACTAGTAGTAAGGGCAGGAGCTACGAGTAGCTTCTTGCTCCTAGTAGCGATGCCCTTGTTCCTAGTAGCTATTTGCTACTAGTAGTAATGCCCTTGTTACTAGTATGTCCATATATGGCGCCTTACTGCGTACTAGTGGTGAAGAAGATGCTGCTGTGTGCATACATATGCTGTTCCCCTGTTCAGCGTGTTCTCAGATTCAGATGCTTTGGCAATTCTGGTTGCTCGGGGTGTCAGTTGGCACAGACATGATGTCAGCAGGATTCGTGGCATAGACAATATATATAATATGGACACGATCCCATTGAACCCATTGTACAACCACCAATAACTATTGTACACCAACTACAACATTTGCTCACAAAATCTTGCTGACGTCAACTGTCACACTTGTTGTACAGCAAGATACAGAGTGTCGCCATGGAATCTGTCCAAGCGGGCAAACAGTATCTCGTACTGAGTGGCACAGAACCCGGAGCGCATTTCCATAGAATGTGGAGTCGTTTGTGATCTTTTGGGGGAGGCAGGATGGATCTGAATTCAAAAGATCAGGACCTCCACTCCTGGAATCAGGCACGCAAGCGTATGCGTCTCTTCATATTGCATGCTGCACTGGCTTCTGCTACATCGTTTCTCGGCACAATCAAGTTCAAACACCATGAGTCACCATGCTTCAAAGAGCAACCTGCGGAGCGTGCCTCACAAATCACACAGTAGTGCCACAGCCTCATTGCTGGATTCAACGTGGACCATGTCTTTGCCAAAGCTGCCATGTCTTGTTTGCCACAAGCTTTGCTCGCTCCCGCTTGAGGTTCGCCACCCTCGCTCGAACTCCTGCACCTCTGTCATGACCAGGAGGCGATCCTAGCGGAGCGAGCCGAGCGAGCGGCGTCGACCAGCGATCCACGAGCCGAGCTCACTGGATCCGGTGGCCACTGGCCTTGGTCTCAAAGACCCATCCACGGCCATCCGCAAGATGCAAAAACGATGAACCGTTCACCTGAGTTGCAAAAGGCAAAAGGAAGAAACATGAACTCTCCACCTAAACAAAAGGAAACAAAAATCCCTACCCCATCTCCTCCTTCCGGTGTCTTTCTTTGCACATTCTGGAAGGCACAGCAAAAGGAACAAGAGCTTTCTCCTACTTTTGACGGGCATACTAGATGCGTTGTAAGGAAAGGAAGATGTCAAACAGTCTGTCTATCCAAGAAACAAAAGGAGACAATCCTTGAGTAGGGGCCCATGTCTATTCCTTTTTCATTCTCTTGAACCTTTTATCTTTACTCTCTTGGACAGACTTTCTGCCGCCGGTCGTCCATGCGCCGGTCGTCCATGACCAAGACTTGCCCCGGATGGAGGAAGTGGCCCACCCGGGCATCGTCTGCATAAGTTGGCGACGCTCGGATCTGGCGCATCACATCAAACGGACGCAGAGCTAGGCAGTAACCATCCTAGATTTGAAAGCAGAATCCAAGACGCTATTGCCAATGCTTGACTTGGTTGCAAGCATTTCTCACATCTCCAACACAAGGGTCTCTGAAGACCTACGGCACCCTATGTCCTATACGGAATTCTGGTCTCAAGACTCACCCGCAGCAGATCATCTTCGGATCTTCCGCCTCCACGTCGTCTTTGCACATCACGGCAAAGTACCGGAGCTGACGCCCTTGTTGGAAGCCCAGGCCTTGCACCGCAGTTTGAACCACGAAGGACAAACCAAGGACAACGTGACAGACAATCAGCACAAGTGACAATGCACTCACCCATTTTGTCCACCAAACTCTATGTGGATGAGGACCATTGAACTTGCAGGGGGGGGTGGGGCAGCTGCTTTGCCTATCCAGACTAAACTTGTCAGCGGAGCTATTCTATGGCAAATCAGTAGACCAGTGAAATTTACCATCTTACCTTCAATTGTGCCTATGCCTTCGCGTGTTCAAACACCTATTTGTAGAGATTTACAATACTGTACATAAGCTTGGCGCATGATGCGACCGCTGATCAACCGCCCCCCCCAGTCCACCTCCCACAGCTTCCAACGGCACAACCATTGGTCCTGGTGGAACGATGTGGACCGTCGGATCCGTCGGATGTGGACGTCGTGGGTGTGGGAACCATGGCTCCTGGGAACGATGTCGTTGGCCAAGCAGGCGTAGCTTGTACCTGGTGACTTTGGCTTAGAACCAAGACTTCCTTACATCTCTCCACAGCATCTCCACATCTCTGTGCATTTCTGATGCAAAACCCGTTCCAGAAGCGCTTTTGCGTCCACTTTTGTGCCTCCGGAGGGTTGCTAGGCGGCGTCGCCCTGATTGGAGTGAGGCAAAAAGAGGCAAGGATCAGTGGGATTTGAGTGGCAAAACGAAGGTCCTTGTATATATGACTAAAATGCAGTATGATCCATTTCAGCAAGAAAAGGTTCAGGAAGAGTCTCTCATCACTTTGCCCCATCGTGATGACCGCGGGGCCCGGGCGGCGGCTTCCGTGGCGTAGGCCCTAGTGCTGGCGAGGCCACAGGCGGCCGTGAGCCGAGTCCTCGCTGAAGAATCGGCAACAAATCAGCCAAAAACAATCCAAAACACTGATCAAAGGGAAATCAGATCCTCATTTGTAGCTTCCTGGGTCTTGAGACTGCAACCTCATACCCATGGTAACTCTGCCTGCTTTTGATCCACTCTCATATGCAATCTCACTGAGTAAGAACAAGCTACGATTGCTGGAATGTCGCAGTTGATCAGTCTTTCAGATGCCATTGTCTTGGTATTGTTGGGCTGCCAGGCATCCGAGCAAATCCCGCTCCCATGTGGACAGAAATTGTTTGATGGTTCATGTCGGCCAAAGCAATACACAAGAGAGAGAGAGAGAGAGCGAGCCCTTAAGCAAACATTGATTGGTAGCTGCCGCAAGACTCTCACAAAATTGAACACTGACCGGGCCAGCCCATGCAGGATGGCTTCCAATGTATCTGTTTTGATTCTGGCCACCAATTTCCGAACTAGTCCTTCTAGTGAACCTCGACCCGGCTTGTCTTGCCTGCCCAACCAGGACTTGCACGGTGAACTTTGCAAACAAAGCAGAGTTGGCGTATTCAAACAGTGTTCTTTGTTTGTTGAGCTTATAGATTCTTTGTCTGCTTGTCTGCTTGATTGATTATATTGATTGATTGATTGATTGATTGATTGATTGCTTGGCCTAGCTACATGTGCGTTTGGATGCATTCTCGCTTCGTGGAGTATTAGAACTGCAAAGCTACTGCCTTCGACTGCAATGCAAACGGACTGTTTAGGTACTTTGGCTGTGAAAGCCACCCTTTAAGCCGTCTTGAAATCTGACGAAAATCGTGCACTGGCCGCCGAAAGCCTGCCAATCTGGGACCCGCTTTCGGAACCAGTCTTGCTTGGTGCCGCCTGTGTCTCCTGGGAAAGCACCAGTGGCACAGCACAAACAGGCGGCCACAGTTCGAATTTCGCCCACAGCGAGTCTGGACACCTTCTGAAGGCATTCCCAGCACTTTGGAACATCTTGCTGGCAAACTTTCCCACACACCGGACAGCTCCGAATCACCTCGGCGGGTCGAAAGGCCTTGGCGGGCCAAGGCCAGGATGTACGGGGGGTCGTCCGAATCCAAAAACGAGGAATCCAGATTGATCAAAATCTCTTGTTTCCGGATCAACAGGAAGGTGACGGCCAATCTCCACATTGACAATTGTCAAAAGGTATGCTTACTTGCAGCTGATAAAAATACAAGAGACCTAGGAATGCAAGCTATGATGGCTAAATAGAACTGCTGTTCCAAGTGATTCCCCCAGTGTCTTGTTTCCGCAGATTCCAGGCTTCGAACAGGTTGCTGGGCAGAGGGCGGCTTTGCAATGGACTTTGCAGTCACATTGGAGCCAAGTCCCTGCCTGCATCGCTTTTCCAAGGCTTGCAGGAGCAGATCTGTCTAGAGAAGAGAGACTTGAGCTTGTTATAATAGAAGTCTATACATTGCAAAGCTGAATTGCTCCTAGTAGCGTCCTTGTTCCTAGTAGTACGGCCAGGAGCCCCGTTCGTAGCGTCCAAAGGCTCGAAATCCTTTTTCCAGACTCGTGCAGTTGCAATCTGTTGCAAAGGAGGCGAGTGTGTCACCGTGTAATGCTTGTTCAAAGAATCAACGATGCCTGACTGTAACGGCACGATTACCTTGTCTTTGTGGTGGGGAGGGGGTTCTACGGGTTCTAGTGAAAGATCACTGTTGGCACTCAGGCTTCCCTCCGTCAAAGCAAGAAAAAAACAGCTAACGCTAACACGAACGACACCAGCGCAGCTTTCGTTGAATGGCACTTTCTGCAAACAAAATTGCAATTTCACACAGAAATCCAGCGCTACATGGGGCCGCCAATTCGATCCAATTTCCGCAGCTCCCAGCCGCCGGTAAAGCATGACCGCCTCGCGTGGAGAGCTGGCGACTCATCGAAGGGGTCAGGAGGCCTCAGTCGGAGGTCAAGAGGAAAACAAGAGGGGCTCGGAAACTTGATGTTAATCTCTAATGCTTTTCTTCTTGGGCAAGGATTTCCAATTTCCAAGGAAAATACAGTAAAACGAAATTGAAAGGAAAATGGAAGGGGAGGGATGTTGCGGGAAGGGCCCAGCACCAAAACAAGTCGGTGGAAGCCAGGCAACAGTGGCCAACAAAGGCCATACCTAAAAGCAACCGCCCACAGAAGTTTCTAGAAAATTTCGCGGCGCGGGAGGCCGCAGCGCCACCGTGAAAGAAACTTTAAATGTTACCTTCAGGTGGCCCAACTTCAGAATGGCTCCTCCCAACTCAAAATTTACCCTTGGTTGCTTGTTTGCTCCTTTCCTTCCTTTCCTTCCTTTGCCTTCCCTTCCTTTCCTTTACCGTCCTGCCTTGACCACCAGGAAAAACAAATAATCGTGAAACAAATTGCCCTCCACAAAAAAGGGCAGTGGGCGCTAGTGCTTTCCCTGACTGAACTGGCGTCATTGGAAGAATGATTGTGAGGCTTTACAAGCAAGCATAGAATCTGTGAGGCATATCTGTGTCCACTTGGGCTTCGGCTTCTTTCTGCCAGCGTCCTGACTTTACAAACAAGGTGACCAAAACCAAAAGCAGCTAAACGCAGTGTTGCTTTGTCTTGGCCTTGTTTTGGCTCGCCAGCATATGCCTGGGCAAGGAACTAAAACATCTAAAACTCCATCCTATCTTTTTCCACCAACTGCATGGCATATTAAGTGATATGTGGGTGCGGCTCAAGCCCCCATAACTACTGGATCGATTGACATCCGTCAAAAATAAGAGGATTCACTTGTTTGGGTCTTCCTCAACGTGGCGCGCCATGTCTATTCCCTTCCCGTTCTCCGTGTCGATCTCCTCGCCTCTTAAGCCAGTTTTGGTCGAACATGGCTCCGCCCGATCTCGACGCTCGGCGTCTCGGTGAGCGTCGTCAGCGTCTCAGTGGCTTGTTCCGTTCGTAGCAACTAGTAGCTTGTCGTTACTAGTAGCGATGCCAGGAGCCCCTAGTAGCGTCCTTGCTCCTAGTAGTAAGGCCAGGAGCTACTAGTAGCTTCTTGTTACTAGTAGTAAGGCCAGCCCCGTTCGTAGCTTCTTGCTAGTAGTAGAAAGCACCACTGTCCACTTGGGCGCACTTAGTAGATTTGGCGAGGTCGGTGACCTCCCACTGTTTCTGGTTGAACGATGTCTAAAACGAGTGCATGCTGAAGAAAATTGGTGAGGAAAAGGAAGTGACTCATTGATGGTTGCTTCCCTTTGAGAAAGTGTCATGCGTTATGACTAGAGAGCCGGAGAGCACATGGAGAGCACCTCTGTTTGAGCAAAGCCAAGCAGGTGCTCTTGAAAGCAGAAAGTGGCTAGAACGTCTAAAGCCTTCCGAACCAACTAAATCTTAATTTTCGAGCTGCCGAATTGTACAGCCTGCGCATGATTCGCGCAGCGCAAAAGAAAGGCAAGCTGCAACGAGTACAGCTAGTCCTCTCAAGATGAGTGATGTGGTGTTGCGAAAGCGGTGAGACTCCGTGAAACTCATGCGCAGCCGCAGCCATGCGAAAAAGTGGTCACTACATGCCGAGACCAACCAAACCAAGCATGATGGCAGGCTTTATTTGGGTGAGCACATTGTGAACTTACTAAAACACAAATGGTATACAAGAAATGAAACAGCATTTCAATGAGTCACGCGCTTGCCCTACCCTAGAGCCGCCGATCACGGACTCTTGGCAGTGGTCGCATCCTGAGATTGCTACAATCAACAGTGAACTCGCAAACCTATGGGATTAGGGCTATGGCGAACCTTGTTCAGCATTGCATCCAATCAACAATAGAATGGAAAAAGCTGGAGGCCGGCACAAAAGGTGAGCACCTAGTGGCTAGTGGCATCCATTTTGGTTTCTAGGGTCATGACCAATTCAATCGACCAGCGATGACATCATCCATGGTATCCAGCCTGAGACTTGGTCAGAGCACGTCCGGGCCCCCTGCTTGACCAAACTAAAGACAATGGACTGTGTACCAGGATCTACCATGATTATCATGGAGGTGCACAGCCCTTTCCAGCACTGAAGGCCCCCACAGAAGCCGATCTAGCACTTCTCCCGCTGAATCTTGGAAAGCATCCAGGTCAACCTCGCCACATCGGCTTTGAACATTCGACGCTTCCACAAGTCTCTTGAACAATAAATCAGGTCCGACTGCATGGGAAGAAGAAGAACAACTCTGAACTCTGTGCCAAACTCCAACTCACGTCACATCTCCTACGATGCTGGATTCCGCCAATCCGACGCTGGGCCCAGCACCTCCCCATACATTGCTAGCGCTTCCTCCCAAGACCTGCTGAAGCCGAGTCATGATGGCTGCTGCCGCGTGAAGCAGTAGCTATGGATGTGGGCCGTATGGAGCTGTGAAACCCAGTGACCCGGCTCGTTGTCCTAGGCAACCTGCTAAACGAATCCACCTGATGTGCGCTTCGGGTGTGCAGGGTGCACTGGAAGCTTCAATGGAAAGAGCATCAACGCCACACCTTGGGAGGAAAAAGACATGAGAATCTGATAAGATCTGCTTGCTTTTACCTGCCTCTGTCTACCTTTGGCTGCCTTTGCCCCGGATCAGTCGCCCACCACTTTGATACCGGAACAAGGCAAGAGGTGTGAGAGAGAGAGAGAGATCTGTACAAGTTAGCTTTAAAGCATGCGAAAGCCGCAAGATAGCTTTAAAGCATGCGAAAGCGGCAAGTGAGCTTCAAGCTGATTTTCGCCCGTGGAACTTGGAGAAGCAACTTCTGCCTTTGCTCCTGGCACACGATGCTGTAGCTTCCTGGTTGCTTTAGAGAGTCGTTTTTCGTGCCTCCACATGTACGCTGTCGTGGCGCTGACTGAGTTCCGGGGGGGGCCTGCCGATGCCAAGAACTTCTGAAGCAAATAGAAAAGCCCCTGGAAATGTCCCAAGCGTGCGGGACCTTGAAGTCCAGCAGCAAATCTGACCTGAGAAAGAAAGACACACGAGAATCCCTTACAAACGTTCTTCGGGCGGGGGGGCTTCACGCAGACTCGCACTGCTTTTAGCAATCTATAGTCAAATGGTTACATGAGACATGAGTTGCTCTTAACAATTGGACCTTGCTCCGCCAAAGCAGAAGTCGAGAAAAGCAGTCATCGAGTCATCAAGCGCCAGGCCATGGCAGAGCGCTGCTGCTGCTGACAAAGACATCATCTTCCTGCACTTGCTGGATGGAGTGGTTTGGATGAAGACTCCAAACAAATTGATCAATTGCTTTCTTTGCCACCTGCTTGATTCAGAATCAGCATAAGTCCTCCGTATCAGTGTCTTCCGGCACTGGAACTGACCTAGGTATGAACAAATGAGGCTTGATTCTTCAAAACTTTGCATATCATGCACGGCTAACACTGACTAAAACAGAATAATGGGAAACAGGCTCCTCTGAAGGAGAGGTGTCCTCAATACAGTGCAGATGCAAGTGGCGAAAGGACGCATACGTGCAAATGGTTAGGTTGCTCTTTCTGTTCAAAACCCGATTTGTTTGGGCTTACTGAAGTGCTCATGGTGGCTGAAGCACAGCGTCTTTCTCTGCTCCTTTCTTTAATAGGTCAATGTCTCGCATCCATCGCATCTTGCCCAGCTCAATGACCCAGCGCATCCCATCCACCAACGGACCAACAGCATAATGTTGAGAAACAACGATTTCCAGAGGCCATTCCTATTAGGTTTGAGGCCATCGCTCTCTTGTTGGAGACCATCGCTCTCAGGTTGGAGGCCATCGCTCATTCGAACCATCCAATGCACTCCTCCAGGATTCGGGGCCGCAGAGCTGGCTCCGGAGCTGCCTTTTTTGCGACCAAAACATCAATACACTCGACATTCCCAATGGCTCACACGCAAACAACCCATCTACTATACCGTCTATACCCTTTTCCATCCTTTTCCCTTCTTGTGGTGCGCTTTGGCAGGGGCTCGACTTGGGCTCTGGCAGGATGATCCGGAGGGGGCAATGCTGGAGGATCGCTTCCTTCGTACTGGAGGAAGAACGGAACGTCCTGGGCGGCCGTTCTCGGCCGTTCCGCTCCGACCGAGGCGATCAAGTCTGAAGCACCGATCGAGTCGGCCTGGGAGAGCATCCGGTCAAGGATGCTACCGAACTCTTCTTCTGCAATCACCTGGAAGGTCTGTCCGTTCTCCAAGAGGTGCCCAGTGGATCAGGCAAAAACTACAAAGGTCCACAAAATGACAAGCAAAGTAACAAAGCAGAAGAAGAGCTATTGGAACAGAGAAAGCGCATGGTCAGCACTTTGTGGGAAACCCTTGAAGATTCAGAAGCTGAACTCTTGCGATGTGCCAAACTCTCTTACATGGTTGGAAAATCAATCAGAAAAGCGACGGTGCTCGCAAACCTTTGACCTAGCGAGCTGTGAGATGGATCGTCCACAAGTTCACCCCTCTGGGCACCTCCCGCATCAGATGCTCCAAGACGTTACCAACAAGCTTGGAATTGCCTGTCTCATCCTCTGGTTGACCTTTCCACAAGACACAGACTGCCTTTAGAAAAGAGAAAAACAAGGATGCAATTTTCAAAGAATGCCTTGTTGACGTCTGGGCCCGACGAGACACGAGTCAAGACCGCAAACTCACCTGGTGGCTCCACCACGTCCTCTTCCTCCGGTGCCGGAGACCTTGCCAACTCAGTGGAACTAAATGCTAAAGGTAACCCATATAAAGCAAGAATCCTGCTGTGAAGTCACCTTCGCGATAAATTTGGTGGCTTGGCCAATAGAAGACCTTGACCTGGACCTTCCTCATCTGTAGCAAATTACCACCCAAAGCCCTCCAATGGATCGTTCAGGCCTGTTTTGGTCATGTTACAGATATATATATAGAGAGAGAGAGGAGCCCATGTGTCGGAAGGCTAGGGCCTTGGGGTGAAGAACCTGGTATGAGAGAGTTTCATCCAGAGCCCAAGAGGCAATGTGGACCCAGTTCGCTGGACCAGCTGTTTGGATCCTGGCTCCTGGCTTCTCCACATGGCAACCAGAAGGTGTGGTCTATGAATGGCTACAGCAGACCTACGGCATGTGGCTTTAACTCACTTACCCAAGAGTCTTAAAATCTTGGACGGTATTTTGTTCCGTGAAGGTGACTAGAATCAGTCCTCCAATCGCAAATTGAGTCCAGGATTCGTGGTGTCCTCTACAGCACAGGACTCTACAAAAGCTTTGTGGATTCAATATGTTTCTACTTCAGTCTCAGTCAGATGATCAAATCTTCAGTCTGCTGTCCTTGGCTTCTTCCTTGACCTCTTCCTTCTTGCTTTCCCGCTGTGCCAAAAGGTTCCGAGCGGAGCTCTCAACAACAAAGTCCTTCCCAACCCGCATGCGGGTTAGCCGTCATGAGTTCATTTGTTTCCTTCAGACTTCTGACCAGGTCGCGGCTTCAGGTTGGGTAGTGATTCTTTGTTCGACTGTCAACAGCAGAATTGACTGTATTGGTTTACTAGAGAGTAGTAACAAGAAGCTACTAGTAACAAGTGCATCGCTAGTAGTAACAAGTGCCTTACTAGTAGTAACAAGAAGCTACTAGTAACAAGGACACTATGCTCGGTGGAGGACCTCACAAGTAGGCTGGAGGCCATCGCTACGAACGTAACAAGAAGCGGAGGCAGGAGTGCACTCCTTCGCCTCTTCAGGCGGCACCCTCCAGTCTGCAACCACTGCCTGTCGCATGATTTAGGTTTTTCTTTTCAGCCGGCTCCTACTTAATTGAGTAGCACCTAGAGTAAGAGTAAGCTACTACTAGGTCCTAGGAGTCCTAGGTACTTAAGCTACTGCATATGGACACAGGTGTTCACGCCTGGTGTTACAAAGGACATCCGACAAAGCTTCATGCCACTACTTTGTAGTGCTTCCCCACATTAGAAAGCAACTTGCGCAGGAGACGTCACCAGTGCCACCTCCCACGGTTCAGTCTGTTGACGTTTCGGGCCGTGCCCTCAGCCGCACATAGAGCGGGTAGGAGGTTGGAGCGCTTGGTGTTTGCGGCCCTCGAGAAGAGTCCTCCATGCTGCTCGAGCCTCAAACACATACAACATAAGTGTCGTTCCAGTTTCCTGGCTAGAACTTTGACAAATATAGCCATAGCATGCCATAGCATGATCAGCGTGACACTAGTGATCCTGAGGGCATTCTCCTCCGGTTGTGTGTTCAAATTCCTTTGCTTGGAAACAAAAGGACCTCTTGCTCGCCAGGCCTCTCCGCCCATGAGGCTCTAAGAATGTGACTTTGCATTCCAGGAAGCTCCTCCTTGCTCTGCAAAGCCAGGCCCATTGTCGAGGTTTGCATGGCCTCCGTCAATGGGGCACTCCGTCAGGCTGCAATCTTGACTTTGAAAGCGTCTCGCCATGCAGCCCCAATGCTGCAAGGCTGCACCAAGCTGTGCAACCTGGTGAGACCAAGCTCCAGGCGCGTCGAGGTGACATGATTGGAATGTGAGACCTGAGCGTTGAGGCTCAGCTTGTGAAGGTCTGCGGTTCAGCTCCGACTGTTTGTTGCAAGAGCACACTGAAACGCCGCCGCAGAAACTTCCAGCAGCCCGGACCGAGCTTCTGGCGAAAGGACCGAGGTTCGGTGCAGGTTCTCATTCAAAAACTTCTGGCCAGCTGCTGTGGACATGAGATTGCGGAACCTGCACACATGGGTCGCAGGGTCGCATGAGCATGAAACACCATGGACTATTGCTGGGAAAGGCAATTTTTTGTCACCCCTGCCTTGACACCGTCAACCGGTTGGCCACCGAAATGTGGACCTCAAGTCATGCTACTCTAAATCTTGAGGGTTTCCCACAACCTCAAACGTCTTCAAAGAGCAACCAAGCCTGACCTAGTGACCAATCTCAGGGAACGAACAAGACAAGATAAACAAGGTTGTAGCCAAATATAACAGAATTCACAAGCAGTTTAGCCTCCACCTGGCTAAGTGCCACCACCGGAGCATTCTGGCCCTTGCTTCGCCTTGTCGGAAGAGAACCAAGCACAATCGTGCTGCCAGGCGCTCCAGCACAAAGGGACAGCTCGAACCCGGTCCGTCAGGATCCATGGATATTTGATCTAAGTCTAAGAGCTGAACGCAGGCTCGTGGATATGGTCTGCATGGAAACCAAAGTACTCCACTTCCGCTGCCGGATCCTGGGGCAGCGACAGCTTGTGCACAACTTCGAGCTCCGCGTGTGTAAATTCACAACCAAAGGCGCAATGAAAACGCAAGCCAAACAATGTTTCACAAGCTTCCTCTTGCGACTCGACGATCGATTGCTGGCCGTAGGCACCTCACGTCAAATTCAAGGCAACACTGCCTTTCTTTAAGGTGACAAGATTACAGTTACATGACTGCGGTTGCAGCAAAGCTATTGACTCCCTTTGATGAAAAGGGGGCATCAGTCTCACCAGGCCCTTCACTGATGTGGGTCCAGTCCAAATGGCAGGCGATCTGCAGGCAATGCCATCATGATTGAGCGGTTCATGTGTGCTTGTGTTTCTGGCTAGCTAGATGCACGCATTGTAGCATATGTACACCGTAAGGTAAGAAGAAAAGCATGAAAAACAATTGACATCCACAGGTGCTCATACTGTCCTACACAAATGGCTGATTCGCTTCTGCCCAAACTCCTCGACTCGATCTTGTTGCCTCCCCACTGATGTCCACTGGCTCGTCACAGCACAAGCGGAACACCACAATGCAGTGCGACCTTCAGCACTCATACCAACTTCACCGAAAAAGGAGATAAAACTGATGACCCTGTGCCACTGAGTAGAGGGGAAGAAGTGCTTGCAGGTTGCAGGACACACTTCCAAACCTCAAGAGTTCCTTCAATGCACAGCTCTGCGTGTGTGTGTGTGTGTGTGTGTGTATGTGTGAAGCCCTTGGAATCACAGGGAATCCGTTGATTCGTACACTTTGATTGCACTCTTGAACTTTTACCTTCAGCAGGGGGATGGAGAGGACGTATGAGGCTCCATCCAACGAAGCTCCTCATACGATCCTAGAATATCATCAGGGAAGCCTGATGAAGTACCCAACTACAACAAGCTTGCTGGCCTTTGCATCGGTTTTGCATCTGCAGTCACGCACTCGTCGATCGCTCGAAATGATCGTGCTTCTTGAGTTTGAGAATTTCCTTTCGAGATGTCGTTTTGGTTGGACGCCACTCCAATTTCACTTTCAGGTTTCATAGTCCCTGGCTTCTTAGGTCTTTTACTTAGGCTGGCGAGTGGCAAACCGCAAGTCGTGTCAGTACGCATGGTCTCGAGTGTGTGCGTGTGTGTCACAGGGATCCACTTGGACTGTACTGGTTGTGCTTTTCGTTTTTTAGCAGGGGAGTGCGGCGTGATTGTGGACCGCACTCAACGAAGCTTCCACAATCACGGGATACCGAGTCTGATCAACTCGGCGTACCTGCAAGTTTGAAACCTGTACCCTTAGGAATTGGCTACCTAGGTCGGCGTGTGGCACCGCATTCACATGAGCACGCATTTCTATAAGTGTGGCGTTTGTCCTATCTCCCCTGCCCGGAGATGTACGTGCCCAGAGCGGGCGCAGGTGGCCTAGGCCGAGAGTACTCAGATTTGTTTACTTCTTGAGTTCCAAGCTGGCTCACGCCTTTACGTGACCATGGCCTATAGCGGTCAAAGCTGCCAGCCATTTTAGCATGGCGTACGTGGCCGCAGCGGCCGAAGCTTGTTCAAGGCTCGTTGGAGTCTGCCGGAGCCTTAGTCCCCTTCCTCCCCCTACCCTCCCCTTCTTCTCTCTTTGCCTTTTTGGTGTATTCCTGAATGTAACACTCAGGTATACCCCTCTCCTTGGTGTGGCCCTGGACGCTTGCGCGTAGCTGGGAACACCTGCTTTCGTCCTCGTATTTTTGTCCTTTTCTCCTTTCCCTCTTTCTCTCTCTCTCTCTCTCTCTCTCTCTCTCTTTTTTTCTCCTTCTCTCTTTTTCTCCTTCTCTCCTTTTCTTTTTCCTTTCACCCTCTTCCTTCCTTTTTGGGTGTCCCTGGATGCTTTCGCCATAGCTGGGAACCCTTCTCTTCTTCTCTTGGTGTGTCCTTGGACGCTTGTGTCGTAGCTGGGAACACCTTCCTTTTCCCTTCCTTTCTTCTTTTTCTTTCTTCTTTTCTCTCCCTACCCCTCCCTCCTGTCGGGACCTTAGAGTGGGATGCTACTAGGGGCTCCTGGCCTTACTACTAGGTGCAAGGACGCTACTAGGGACACCGCTTCTCGAAGAGAAGCCTCCCCTCGGGGAGGCGTGTGCGTGTTTGTGCCCCTTGAAGTCACAGGGATCCACTTGGACTGTACTGGTTGTGCTTTTCGTTTTTTAGCAGGGGAGTGCGGCGTGATTGTGGGACCGCACTCAACGAAGCTTCCACAATCACGGGATACCGAGTCTGATCAACTCGGCGTACCTGCAAGTTTGAAACCTGTACCCTATTTGGTTGCGAATATATTTCTGGATGTTTTTTCGTTTTTTTTTTGGATTTTTTTGTTTTTCGTGTTTCGTGGCAGGTGCAGTACTTTGTGGACCTTGCAAAGCACATTTCGTGGCAGGTGCAGGACTTTGTGGGCCTTGGAGTGCAGAGTTTGTGGTAGGCGCAGGACTTTTTGTGGGCCTTGAAGTGCAGATTTCGTGGCAGGTGTAGTACTTTGTGGGCCTTGGAGTGCAGATTTCGTGGCAGATGCAGGACTTTGTGGGTGTGGAAGTGTAGAGTCGAGTTGGTGGCAGG